GAGTAGAAACTCTCTGAGACCTGGGATTACAGATTTCTGAATCCCAAATCCAATGGCCCCAGCACAGAAACTGAATTTTGTTAATTCTGGACTGGTTACCCATGACTCACTGCCTATCCACTGGCGAGGTGGAAAAGGCTCACGTGATAGTTCCTTCAACAGGATCCTCATGTCTCCTAAAGCTGCAAATGCCACAATAACCATAGCTGTGGACCTTGAGAGACAACATAATATATTAGAAAGATTTTCAACTATATTTATTTAAGTAAGTTATTGATAAATGGTCAATTGATGGGTTCATATAGCACTTTTCTACTATACCTGACTAGTCAAAAAACTTTATACAACATATTATTGTGGTATTTGACAGCATAAAATATTTATCTTTAGGATAATAAATTAATTGCCACACAAGTCATTTCTGTCATGTAGAAACCTGCGGATAACATCTGCTACTCTCTGGATCCTGTTCTGTGGGTGGGACCGATAGAAGGATACGGAGTATTCCACACAGATCCCCTCTTTCTGTGCTGCTTGTAGAAAAGATGCCATGCCATTATTTCCATAATCTGAATCTGACCGGACAGCACCTATCCAAGTCCAGCCAAACTGTTTTACCAGCTTTGCTAGTGCACCAGCTTGAAACTGGTCACTGGGGATTGTTCTGAAAAAATTCGGGTACTGCTGCTTGTCAGACAAGCATGCACATGTGGCAAAGTAGCTCACCTAAAGTGATAAAACAAAACAAAAATCGAATAAATTGATTAATTAATATAGCAGGGTAACAATGTACTGCAGTGTTAAAGTCATGCACAGGCATATTTTAAAGTCAAACTTTATCCAGAAATTCATATATTTACTTGAGGAACGTTAAAAGAACTGATGACTCGTGACAAGCTGATGGATGGTGTAGACCCAGACTCACCAACAACAGCCATCACCATACCAGATTGGGAGCAGTTGTTGCCAATGTAAAACACAGGGTCCAAGCTATTTAAAAACTGAAATGCCACATGCACCGTCACAAGCACTGATGCACATGAATCATAGATCTGATACCCCAGTTTGATTCCAGGCAACAGCTCTGTGTTGTTGTTAATCTGTTCGATGGCAAAGACCATTGCACGTGAAAAGCGCAGCTCACGTGTATTAATGCTGGAGACAGATAATTATGTCACTGTTATAATTTGAATCAGGTTAAATTACAACAGAACAGAACAGAATATACAGTCTAGGAAGATTTGCAGTTTGCAGCTATTTAACATTTATTCATTGTAATTTTTTTAATCAAAGGTTACATTAGAAATTATTTTCAGCGCACAGTTATGGAAAATCAGTAGAAAATAGGCACTAATGGATCTTGAGCATAACGTTAGAGTATTTTTTTCCTCACACAGAAACAACATACTTCTCTCTCTTGCTGACCTCCCTTTGCATCTTACTGGCTCGGGCATGGTGGTGTAGTTACTGTCAACTGTGTGAATGTAGGAGTGAATGGAAAAAATACCACCAATAATGTAGTCTCCATCCATTGAGAATGCAGGTGGACGAGTGCTATTCTGCAGCTTGCATTTTACAGGTGAATCCGCAGTATCAACCTGATCATCTATAAGTGTAATCTTTTGATTGAAAGGATCTAAGGACACACCCAAGGCAAGAGCTGTGGTCAGGTGAAACAAACAAAAAGTCATAATCAAACTAACAAAATGAGCTGCTATCTCCATCCCTGCTTGATGTCAGGTGTCTGTATATGGGTGTAAGTGTGTTTACACTGGTTTTTATAAGTCTTAAGACAAAAGTCTTTTGTTCTACCCCTAAAGAGGACATGCCCATTACCGAGATGCCTTTGATTAAATCTTTATGTTCTATGATCTATGCATAAATAATTTCTACTGGTCATATCCAGTGTTGGGTAAGTTACTTTAAATTAGTAACTTAGTTACATTACTAGTTACTTCTATCAAAAGTAACTCAGTTACTTCAAGTTACTCGTTACTTTCA